TCCCAACTATCAGGCTGTAACGTCGTTGTTGATCTCCTCTGTATTTTCTGGTTACTCCGACATGTCTTTAGGGGACCGCAAATCTAAGATCCCCGATGTCCAATCTTCACCTCCCTCAGGCTTTTGCTTATTGAAGCTTATTGGAGCTAGTCCAGAGAAACTCAAAGCTTCAGTGGTTTAAAGAGCAAGCTGTCAAGAGTCTGTGCAAAGAAACCTAGCCACCAGCTGCCATTAATTAAAATTTAGGAAAGTTATAGTATTTCTAACATGAGAAGTGGCAGCACCACTGGCCCCCCACTGTGTCCAGCCCCAGGTCGATCCTGCCCACCAGCATCACATGCCCCTCTTGTCTCCCGAGGGGACATGGTGGGTCCCTTGTGCAGGTGACCCGCTGTGTCTCTGAACCGTGATTTGGTCAAGAGTCTGTGCAAAGAAACCTAGCCACCAGCTGCCATTAATTAAAATTTAGGAAAGTTATAGTATTTCTAACATGAGCAGTGGCAGCACCACTGGCCCCCACTGTGTCCAGCCCCAGGTCGATCCTGCCCACCAGCATCACATGCCCCTCATGTCTCCCGAGGGGACATGGTGGGTCCCTTGTGCAGGTGACCCGCTGTGTCTCTGAACCGTGATTTGGTAAAGGGCTTCCTTCACCTGCTAGTGCCTTTTTGGGTCGTTTCTGGAAGATGTCGTCAAGGGAACCCACCAACTCCCAGTTGCACCCTTTTCCCCTGCTCCTCTGGAACGTGTCCTCCTGCCTTTATGTTCATCTCACACGAATTAGCCTGGGTAACACGCCAGTAGTTTCACTGTTCTCACCACACACACCACGTTGCTCTCAGGGTGAGCGAGACTTCTGAGGGGTTCTCTCCTTGGCCCGCCACATCCTGCCCCACTGCAGGAAAGGCTCGTGGCATGTGCCACCTTGATGATGCCCCGTGAGGAGAACACAGTGGCCCTCCCAGCCCCTGCAGCACACGCTGCTCTGCCTTCCCTTACTTCTTCCCCTTCCACCTTCTGAGTGCCACAAACTCACGAAAGAGGAACAGTTTCCATCCCAACAGAGTTTGCGTCATGTGATCAGGGGGTAAATGTAAACCACGTAAAAGTTTCAAGCTCATCCCCAAAGTAACGGCATTCCTTTGTTTTCCCCAGATACCTTTTGTACGATGTAAATCCCCCTGAAGGGTTCAACCTTCGCAGAGACGTCTACGTTCGCATTGCTTCCCTTGTAAAGACCCTGCGGAAAAGTGAAAACTGGGTGTTAGTCCTGCCTCCTTGGGGGAGGCTTTATCACTGGCAGAGCCCCGATATCCTTCAGGTCCGGATCCCTTGGTCTGAGTTCTTTGATATCCCAAGCCTCAACAGGAACATCCCTGTCATTGAATATGAGCAGTTCCTTGCAGGTGGAGTATAGGATCATGCAGTTCTACAATTGACTAAATATTTCAGATGGTTTCTTCACAGGTTTGTCCTTATAGAGGGCTTTTAGCCTTATATGTGAAATAATAAAAAGGTTTGAGGGGGTGAGAGAATGGCTGGGAAGGAGTTATACTGAGTTACAAAACCGCTAGGATGAAATAATCCAGTTATTTCGTAACTTCTTTGCTGTCAACTTCCTGTGGTCCCCAGAGACAGACAGTTAACATGTGTGGTTAAATTCAGAGATTTCTGCCTGGTTTTGACCATAGATTTGCACTCCCATGGTCACACCGTTGTGTTTGGCACATTACATCCTACAGAGCTGGGTGGCAGTAACAGGTGGTCACATTGCCTGACCCTTTCAACTTTTCTGGCTCGCACAGAATTTATTTTCCATTTTTTAGAGAGAAAGCAGGGAAGAGAGAGGAGTGTCATACTGGCGTTTCTAGCAGATTTTTAACTGCAAGTGATGCTAGTTCATACCTTTCTCGTGTGGGTTTTCATGCTCACAAATCCTTTGCTTTGCCTTCTGCTCAGAGTCAGGTGGGCCCTTTATTGAACAGATTTATGTGCTACAAGGCTATGCAGAGGGATGGAAAGAAGGAACATGGGAAGAAAAAATCAATGAAAGGCCATGCATTGATCAGCTGATGTATTCCAAGGACAAACATGAGTACTACAGGTAACATCTAGCAGTCCTTTTGATCTTCTTTTCAGTGGTATTCAGTGAGACAGTTGCCTGCTTTTAACAGAATAGACTGGTGTGGTTGTTGCAATGTTATCTGTGAATCCCTGAATGCTCGGGGTTCACGTTTTTTAAAAAAAACCCCATAAATAATAAGATGTATTGATACGAGAAAATCTAACTTTAGAAAATTGTTGTTCCACACAAAAACGGTAAAAAGGAGGTGGCTGGTTTGCTGGCATTATATATTGTCTTTATAGGATGTACTGTTTATTATTTTTGTTACGTATGTGACGTTAATTTAAAATACACGCCTGCGAACCAATCCTTGGTGTTCCCTTTTAGGGGCTGGTTCTGGGGTTACGAGGAAACACGAGGCCTAACCGTCTCTTGTTTGTCTGTCCAAGGATCTGCTTCCATTGTGGCGCCCATCCTTCTGAAGAACACTTCAGCGCAGTGAGTTGCCTTGTCTTACTATTTATTGTTGTCTTGTGTGCCCACAAACCTATTGCCAGGTGTGAAGAGCAGGGGGAACTTAAAGGCTGTATCCCACTGTTGTGCTGCTTCATCGCTGAGTTGCTGTAAACCATTGAAGTCATTACAGAAGGGATTTACACTGTCAGAAATGCTTAACTGTGAACTCGGTGAAGTGCTACAGCGCTAAAATGTAAGAGGAAGTAGCCTTTAGCTCCTTTAAATTCCCTCTCAGGTAGCTAAATGTCCTTGCCATCCTGTGTTTGCCTTTCCTTCCTTTACTCTTTACCTGGTGCTGGGTCAAGAGGGAATAAACAGAGTGGAATCGGTGTTTCTCAGGCCGGGATCTCGGATGGCGAGGTGCAGTGCCTGGTCTCCTGTGGCATCCATCCTCAGTGCTGGGTTTAGAGAAGGCAAGCAGCAAGTTTCGTCTTTCTGATGAGAGCAGTGGGGATCTGTAGTACCTCCCACGGGGAGCAGAGGAAGCAAAGTGCTGTTTTTTAACAGGAATGTTCTTCTGTTGTAGGAGTTCCACCTTAATCCTGGCCAGTGGCAGCATGGTTCCCTTCTCCCTCCAGTGGGCTGTGGGTCACAATTTGCCTTCTAGAGAACAGATTGGCAGCCTGTCCCTCATTCCCTGTGCTCCCTTTGCAAACAGATCATAGCCTGTGCTTTATCCTAGCAAATGTATAAACACATGGTATAATGTAAATTCTATTCCTAAGGGAACTGCACGCAGTTTTACCATTTTTAATAGGTCAGTGATGTTAGACAGAGCTGAAAACCTTCTTCATGACCACTACGGAGGGAAAGATTACTGGAATGTGAGTATTTTTCAGTTAGCTTCTCTGGACTTTTTACTTGCCTCTGCTAAATATTCAGTAACCTCTGTGGGCTTGAGCTTTGCCTCAGGTTTCTTTTCTTGGAAGTAACTTGTGTCTTATGTTTCAGCAAGATGTGCTAGAGATGGTCCTCAGGCTGCTGTGGATTAATGTAACACAGGAATTTGTCCTCTTTTGTCCCTAAAGACCCAGTGCTGCAGGGCATGGTGTTTAGAAGGCCCTCCCCTGTACAACACATCTGCAGTCAGAGGGGAGCAGTTCTTGTTTAGTCAACCTCAAGGTTAGACTTTTCAAAAGAATTCCCAGAAATGCTCAGTATTTTCCCAGCTCTCTCCCCATCATCTTCAATGGCAAAATTCCCATGGGTTTCAAGGTAACTGGTCACCTCCCAAGGGTGTGTGGTAAAGTAATTCCTATGCTAAAAGTTTTAAGAAAAAGTTAAGGCTTAGCCACAGGAAAATTATGTGGAGTGCTTGATATAATTAAAACTGCTAAGAGAAAATGACTCTTATGATACTACAAAACAAGTTACACAGACCTCAGTCTTGTAAGATGTGAGCATCTGGCTATTCACTTGGGATATAGCATATTTTTCAGAAATGGACCAAACAGTAGTTTTCTAACCTTGTGCTTTTCATTGAGAGTGACTTTCCAAACAGAGAAATGCAGCCCACAGATCATTTTTGAGTATGACTTGTAGTCCTGTAAAAGCAGACCTGAAATCCACATGGATCTATAACACACATTCTTAGCAGTGGCACTTTAAATGTTGCCTCAGTGGGTTTGCCTGATGTCCAAACAGAAAGTCACTCACTGCAGCTTGGGCCCAGGGCCTCTTCTCTTTCCATACCCCTCTGAGAAGTACCTCTCCCTTCTCTGTTTCTTTGCAGACAAAAAGGGAGAATATGGAAAGAGTGGCAGTATCAGACATGTAGATTTGAAACATATTCTTCTAAGAGAAGGGGAACCAGGTACAGAGAGCACACACTTCCTGAAGTGTATCAGTGGAGCTCACACATTCACCTGTTTTCTCTTTTACACATGCTGTTGCAAAATAAGTGTCCACACAGACCAGCTGCTGTCAGGGGAGTGGTTTGTGCCTGGGAGAGGCTCGGCACAGCAATACTGCCTGGGTGCCAAATGTGGCGTGGCAGTCACACAGTCCAGCAGGATGAAGCTCAGACATGTTTGACACAAGCATAGCATCCAAAGATGTTCATTGCCTTGCACTGCCATGGGTTTGCTGCCTCTTGGGCATACCATTCATCACACCTCAGGGAAGGTATCCCATGGCCTGACTCGACAGGGAGGAAAAATCTCTCTTTGAACTGCAGCATGAGTGTTCTGCAGCAGACAGCGTGTACATCCTCCCTGATGTCAGTGTTTTGCTGGAGGATTTGGGATGGAGTGAAACCACCCCAGCTGGCAACCAAACCTCAGGCAGCTGCTCGCTTACTCCCCCCCCAGCAGGATTGAGAAGAGAATTGGAAGGGTAAAAGCTGGGAAACTCATGGGTTGAGATAAAGACAGTTTAATAGGGAAAGCAGAAAAGGCCTGGAGTCTTTTTGTTGCATTTCTTTGGTGCCCATCACACGATAGACTTGCATAAAATGAAGAATTAGACCAAACTGCCAAGTGTCCTCTGTAAGCAGCGTAAGTGCTGGGATTTCCTTCTTTCTGTTGTGTGTGCCTGTTAATAAAAGGGCTATATATGACTGTGTGTAATGGTAACTGCATTACAGGAACTTGGAAAGGGTTGTTATCCATAGGTTAAGGACATAACCCTTTTTTTGTCACTTTTCCACTGAATTTGACAGGAATGTCTGTGGCTAGATGCTTAATTTTTTTTAAAGCAGGTTTTATTCTTACAGGTGTTTTGCAAACTAAAGTCTTTGCCCAGCTTTTGTTTCCAAAAGTGAGGTGCATTGCTAGAGTGTTTAATTTGGTATATTATGTGTTCTGTTGTGCAAATAACTGAAGTCTACTCCCTGCACCTGTGTGTTGCAGGGGCAGTTGAGTGTGCTGGTTATAAACGTGATTGTAATTAGAATTAAACAGTTATGTCTCGGATGAAAGGTTAGAAATTGTTGCTTATATTGCTGCGTGGATGTGCCAGGAGTTACCACATTCCGAAGTGCTGTGTATGTGCAGCTATCTCCACTTCTCGTTTTTAGCTCTCCCTTTTTCTGACTTGGCCTCTGCTCTTATTCCCCCAGACCCGTCGGAGCATGGTGTTTGCTAAACACCTCCGGGTGGTGGGAGACGAGTTTAGAAGGAAGTATCTTCAATCCACGGATGAGGCAGACAGGACTCATTACAAGGAGGACTGGACACAGATGAAGGTAAAATCATGACAGTCTGTTTCCCGTAAGAAATGTAATTTTTACTTCATTTGTGTACTCCTGGCTGTGTGCTGCAGGGCGTGTTGGAAGACACAGGTGAGTCTAACTCTCCTGCTCACAGCAGGGCAGACAGGCACGTTCCTTGTGCACCTTCTCCCCGCGTGCCATGAGTTAACGGAGCCTGTTGAGGGGTGCCTGGTTCTGGGTGTCAGATCTTTGCTGCCCTCATTTCGGTAAAGGAAACTTGAATTGCTTCTTGCATTCAGCGTCATGAGTGGGTGGGGAGTTCAGCTGCAAACTGCCAGCTGAGGATTTATTTGGTCAAGGAGAGCAGTTTTTGCTTACGAAGACTTCGTGCTCTAGTTTCTCTTGTGTGATGCAGGCCACCCGGAGATCAAAACATTGCAACGAGTGTCCCAAACTACTCCCAGTCCTTATTTTGAAATTTCTTTCTGCAACTAGAGTGATTCAGTGCCTTATCCAGAGATGATGCATTCTGGCCTTTTTGGTGTGAATGTATAGTGGCGCTCTCAAGTTTTAAAGTTTAGTGGTCTTTCTCTCGTAGGTTAAGACGGGCACAGCTCTAGGTGGTCCATACCTTGGGGTTCATCTCAGAAGGAAAGACTTCATTTGGGGTCACAGAGAAGATGTGCCTTCCCTGCAAGGAGCAGTAAAGAAAATCCGCAGCCTCTTGGAGATGCTTAAACTTGAAAAAGTTTTTGTAGCCACTGATGCTGTCGAGGAGGGTAGGTAGATCCCACTCACTTCAGGATTGGTAACTTCTGACAATGAGTGCTGCCATTGCCACTTCACTTTTATAAACGACTGGGATCAATGCCTCCATCACCGAATGGGAATTGAGCAGGTCTGGGCAGCTGTATCCTTCCAGCTTGAGTAGCTGGTATCAAACCATTCATTTAGTATTTCCCATGGAAGGTTTGACAGTCTCTACAGTGGGGAACTGTGAGTTGAATTTGCCTATTCCTTCTCCTCTTTCTTCCATCCCACGTTTTCTCTGGTAGGAAGGGTCCTCTGAAGTCTCCCACCCAGCCTTCCCCTTGGCTTCCCCTGGCTGTGTGTGGCCAAGGCTTAGAAACCCACAGTGGTGGGCTTTCCCCCACCAGTCCTTATCCCAGGGCTGCACTCCCATCCCAGTGGTATCGAGGGATCTGTTTCGATACATGATGTTAGAATAACTCTGCAAGGCATGGCACCTGCAGCCTTAAGTTTGCTGCCAAGAAAGGCCTCTCGGTACACCTGCCCTGTAGTGAGGCTAATGGGACTAATCTGTTCTTGCAGACTTCCCCGTGCCCTCCGAATTGGCCCCCTCAGCACTGTGTTCCTGCCCCACCAGTTCCCCTCCCCACCCACCATTCTGTGAATTACTGTCTTGTAAAATCTCTCGGTGGATTTTGGTGTCACTTGCTTTGGAACTCTCCGCCCAGGGTTTTCTCAAACACATCACGTGACAGCAGCAGGTTGTTCTTCATAATGTCGAGATAAAATTGTGTCTTTCCTTTTCTCAGAGATTGAATTGCTCAGGAAACTGCTGCCTGAGATGGTGAGGTTTGAACCCTCTTGGGAGGAGCTGGAACTCTATAAGGATGGGGGCTTGGCCGTGATTGACCAGTGGATTTGTGCACATGCAAGGTAGTGAACGTGACTTTTTATTTGAGGAGCCAAATCTTAATGTCACTGTCACAAAACTGAATATGATTTTTGGCCCAGCTGTAGTTCTTTACAAATCATATAAGATATATAATTGCGATGTATATAATAGATGTATAATAGTTATATTGTGTATAGAGATGATGATCATTTCATTATTGTATCATTTCAATGAACAGTAAAGTTGGTCCCCCTCACAAACCCTTTCTGACCTTTTTCACAGGTATTTTATAGGCACCTCAGTTTCAACATTTTCCTTCCGAATCCATGAGGAAAGAGAGATCTTGGGATTTGACCCAAAAACAACTTACAACCGATTTTGTGGTGAAACAGAGAAAAACTGTGAGCAGCCAACTCACTGGAAAATTGTCTATTAAATACAGAGAAATACAAGGGCTTCAGTAATCGTAGAATCATAGAATCAGCTGGGTTGGAATGGACCTCCGAGATCATCAACTCCAACCCTTGATCCACTACTGGAGCATTTCTTACCTGTCCATGGTTCCCTGTGAGGGTCCACAGTCATTTTTAGATAGAAGAGCTCTCTGAAACAATATGATTTTCAATAATATATAGTCTTTAAGTTAAATTTTACAAGTAATTTTTTTTAATACTGATTATAAATTGATAATTGATACCTGTATGTAAAATGGAAAGCTGTCAAGAGGGAACATTCCTGTGCCTAAGGCACTGTGCACCGAATTTGGCTTTGACTTTGTGCATCTTTGACCCCATGCCATGATTACTGTAGTTTAGATAGGAAACATTGCGTGTGTATGTATTAAAAAAAATACACACTGGAGATGTACATTGAAAATAAATTATTTTGGTAGTCAGAACCAGCTAAAAATTACCTTAAACTAGAGGTGTGTGTAAAAGGATTGGTGCACATTTGTCCACAGCAGTGGACATTTTCTCAAAATGCTTTGTCAGGGTATGTGACCTCAGTGGTCAGATTATTTGGGAATAAGTGTGTGAGAGTCTGTTTGTTTGCTTTGGTTTAGAATCTCATGTGTTTACCCTGAAGATGCAAAGCCAAATCATGGCTGCAAACAGAGCCTTGTCCCTGCCTGTGAGCAGGCTGGGGATAATGGCATGTGCCAGCCAACAGCAGCCCTGGGAATGGTGACCCACAGAGCCCACTTCAGTGCAAGCTGGCCATTTGCAGAGTCTGGAACTGAAATTCAGAGCCCAACTTTTTTATGAGGCTGTGGTAGAGATTAGATAGAGGACAGAGAAAAAAAAAGTCGATTCAAACACACTACTGCATCTGCAGGCTGGTGCTTCTGATAACACACCAGACTTGGCTCTTCCATAACCTTTCCATACAACTCACAGAGGGATTTGCCACAAGGCACTGATTTGCTAAGTCAAGTAAACTGAGTAAACACAGCTTCACCTTCAGGGGAATAGCTCCTCCACCTGCCCTTCCCGCCCCAGCCATCACCACCCTCCGTTTGTAACTGCCCTCCACTGAGTACTTACCACTGAGTTTGAAGACGGCCGCAGCAGGAGGGGATGTCACCTGGCTGGAAAAAACCCAGTGCCACCAGGCTGTGGGGAAACATGCCTTGGCCAGGAGCTGCTTTTGGGTCTGGTGCCTCTTGACATGGTGCCACTTATCCGGTGTCATCCAAGTTCTGGCTGAGCTGGGGAGCATGCAGTTAGTGACAGTAGCACGGAACCAGAGAATCAATTACGCTGAAAAAGACCTCTGAGATCGAGTCCAACCTAAACCCATCAAGCCACCACCTCAGATGTCACTTTCACACTGATGGAGTTTTCTTTTGTACGTGCCTGGTCTTTGCTTTCCCTGTTGTTCCTAGGAAAGGTCAAAGAGCTTAACAATGGGTCTTTCCAAAAAGGGTGCATCACCTATGCAGGGGATCTCCCACCTTGCTCCTGTTCCTAATCAGAAACTGATCTGATAAGCCAGGTGATGGAGAGAACAAAAACCTGCCTGAGGGCTAAGATCCATGTCAGTCCCACAAGCAGCTGGCTGTGGAGCAGAACTGACCTGGATCTAACTCCTTTTTAAGACGGATTTCCTCCACGCAGGGTCAGATGAACAGCTGGCTTTGTTGGTGCATGAAAAGGTACATGGCAAGAGCACTGTCTCAGTGGCCTGTGAGTTATGCACCTGCTTCCAGAGGGCTGGATCCAGACTGGCCACATGTCAGTGGCTCCCTGCCCTTCCTCAGCCTTTGCTGCAGCCCTTGATCTGAGCTGAGCTGACATTTCTGTGCCTGGCCAACTGAGCAGAGAGCCATATTCTCCAGAGCTGACCCTTGAGCAGGATGCAAGGGCAGCCCACTTAGGACCAGACTTTCCTGCTTTACTGGGACAGGTGCTGATTAGAGGTGAGCATCAGGTGGTTGGTTTTCTGCCATCCCCAGCCGTGGGGAGTTGGGTTCCCACCCTGGGCAGTGGCACTGCTGGCACATCACAGGGCTCACCCAGTTCTCACCACAGCAGGGCTTAAGGCTACCACCACATGCATGATTCAAACCCAGTGCCAGACTGGGATGGAAATGCTGGTGACCACCTACAAGTCTGCAGAAGTCAGGGACACACCCACTTGGGATTTGAGTGCAAAACAGCATTTTTGACATGCAGCAGCAGTGGCACGGCCCTTCCCACACGGTGACACAGGCCACGTGTCTACAGTGGAGTGTCAGACCTGTCACATACTTTCTTGCCTTCCCCTCTCCCATGCTCTAGCCAGCTCTTCAGGATGTAACCAAAACCACCATTTTAAGGACATGCACAGTATCTGTGATGTTTCACTTATTGTTTTGCTGCCACCAGCAATATTGATATAAAAAAAAATAATGATGAAACTTAGCAATGATATAGCTCTTTATATTTTTGAAATCTCTGTACAAACATTACTTAAACAAAGCAAGGTAGTATGCAAAACAGTCATTGCTTAGAATAATCAACCAATGGGTTGTGCTTCAGTGGTGACACTGGGAGAGGAACAAGAGTGCTGGAAGGGAAGCAACAAACCAGAGGTATAACAAGGTCTCGTCTTCGAAGTTGGAGTTATGAATGGAGAAAGTAAGTGTCAAGGACAGTGTCTGAGAGTGTTCTTTAATATCCTTACACCAGGTAGGTAAAACCAATGTATTTTCACTATCACACAGGAGGATGGGAGAAGAATAACTGCTTAATGCAAATAATATACAGCAATATATATATATATATGTCTGTATAAGTACATATTCACACACACACCCCCCTTTGATCCTAAATTTGCTAAGGATGCCTCAGTCAAACTACAACAGAAATGATATTGGTATGATAACAACGACAATATTAAAAATGTGAAAACAGTGCAGTGACATCAACTGTGGATCTTTCCCTCCAGAGAACAGATATTCCTTAAACTGTTCCATCTGCCGAGGCTGGCTGCAAACACGGCTCTCAATTCCTCTTTCCTGGAATGACTGAAGAAAACAAAACCACAACTACCCCCAGGACTCATTCCTGCCTACGCAAAAGCTGCCGGTGCAATTAACATTCATTCACAGGTGACAGGACAGCCCTTTGGCTGTGAAGGCTCTAAAGAACACCATGTACTGACATCACCCAACAAGGAACTCGTGTCCTATCTGCTCCCCACAGCCCTGCCAGGTCCAGGATTCCAGCCCCAGCTCAGTTCCTGCAGCCCCCCTTGGTTTGCATCGTTCCCAGCTCAACAGAAGTGATGGAAGCAGCAGTTTTATTGGAAGCACCATACTGGCTCAGGCACACAACGCCAGTGGATGTACTAAGGGACTGATTTCCATCCTCCCAGGTGTGTTTTAGGGACAAAAACCTGCCTAGTGATGAAACACCCTCCCCAGCTGGTGGCTCTAAATACCCAGCCTGCCTGCCCAGAGACCCACACGATTTTCTTGCACGGGGAATCAACCCAAAATTGTTGGAAATACTCCAGACCAGTTGTTTGCATAAAGGAAGGGCAGCAAGCCAAGTGGCTAATTCCTTTGGTCCATGCTCCCCATGTCTCCTGCACAAGGGCCTCTCCAGCAAATTTCCCATCCTGTGCCATCATTTCTACATTAGAAACTAGAGAAAGCAGCGATTTCAATTTCTCTCTCCTCCTCCTCCTGCTTCCATCAGATGCTGACTCAGCAATGGCTGAGCACATCCATCCCACTGAGCCACCAGTAGGACAGGGACCAAGCCCAGGAAACTGTCCCCTTCCAGCCCTGTGGCACAGAGTTCAGTGTCCCTTCCAAAATCTTCCTTGCGTCCTTACCAAAACCTGTGCCTCTGTTAGCTGTAGGTAACCCCAGGATCAACATTACCTCCTTCCCCCACAGGAATCTTTTAAGCTCACCTGAAAAAATTTCCTATTAGAAAATAAATAAATAAATAAACAAATAGATAAAGAAACCCAACAAAAACCACACGGTGATTCTGAGACAGGATAATTGTATTTTACACATTTTATTTCTGCGGGTTTTTAGGTTTTAAGCGACATGAGACATTTTTCTTCTGACTGTATCCCTGAATTGCAATTCTGCTTCCTTTCCAGTAAACTTTGGGATAATTTTCACAGTGGACAGCTTTATAATGATAAAAATGCAAAGAATGCAAAGTGTAGCTTCTCTGCAAGCATGAGCCTTCCAAACATAAATTTAAGGAATGGCAATAATCAACTATTTTGAAAACCATGGATATTTAAAAACCCCAAAATTTTAATTATGTGGTGACTGTGACTAAGTCAATTCTTAGACCTGATTCTCAATTCCTGGCTGGTTATTTTTTTAAACACAGCTTGGTTTCCAAAGGCAGCACTTCTCCATGACACAGGCTCTGCCTCATGCTACCAAACACTCTGAACCAACAGTTTTAACTCATGCATATTTGCACTGAGAGCAGGGTGAGTTTGGGGTTTTCCCTGGGGTAGACAGCACTCTTGGACATCACAGAATCATGGAATGGTTTGGGTCGAAAGGGACCTTCAAGACCATCTTGTTCCACCCCCCTGCCATGGGCAGGGACACCTTCCACTAGCCCAGGTTGCTCCAAGCTCCATCCAACCTGGCCTTGGACGCTTCCAGGGATGAGGCAGCCACAGCTTCTCTGGGCAACCTGTGCCAGGGCCTCTCCACCCTCACCGGGAGAATTTCTTCCCTATATCCAATTAAAATCTACCCTCTGTCAGTGGGAAGCCATTCTGCCTTGTCCTGTCACTCCAAGCCCTTGGAACAAGTCCCTCTCCAGCTCTCTTGGAGCCCCCTTTAGACACTGGAAGGGGGTCTCAGGTCTCCACAGAGCCTTCTCTTCTCCAGGTGAACACCCCCAGCTCTCCCAGCCTGTCTTCAGAACCGGACTGATGAAATGCAACACCAGTTCTGAGATCCTCACCCTCTCAGCAGCAAGTTATTTTCGATTTAGAGCAACAGCACCCAAAAATCTTCTACTGCTGAGCTTCCTATGAAGTAACAAGCCATGAAAAGATTTCTCTAAGGAGAAGATGAGAATTGCCAGCTGTCCAGACACCCCACTGCTGCACATCCCTAAGCAAGTGGAGTCACCGTTCCCATCACTACCTGTGTGACATCCACACCACTGGGGGAGAAGTGTAGCTGACAGGCTCTACATGAAACACTCAGACACAAGCAGTAAGAAGTAATCTACAGTTATTACCAGGTCCTGAGTACAGCCATAAGCGATATTTCAAGTGTTAACCTTTAGGCCCAGATTTTCTTAAAATGATCCTGCATAACACATATATATATATATATATGTGTGTGTATATATATATATATGTGTGTGTGTATATATATATATTTCAAACATCTATATTTAAAATTACCTACTTTCATAACCTACAAACTTTACTATAGCCAGACTGCCATCTGGAGAAAAAACATCTTAAATTAGATTTCAAGTATTCATCAACATTAAAGTTGTTGCTCTAAGTCCTTTGAAGGTCCTGAGACAAACACTCAATTACAATTATATAAATATTCAATCAAAATAATTATATAAATATTCAATCAAAAATAAGGGGGGGGAAGTAAAAGAACAGAAGCAGCTCCTAGAGCAGCAGTACAAGTCCCCTGTGCAGGCCAGCTCCCACCCATCCAGCTTTCCAGACCCCTCAGCCTTCCAGCGCTGGTCTCCCATAAAATTTGGCAACTGCCAGAGGCTAAGTTGCCTTATCTTTTGCAGTCACTTGAAATTATATACATCACTATCCCTTCTTGCTCAGTGATAGTGATTTGCAGGGAACCCTCCCAACTGCCTTCTGTGTGTGAACTGCACAAAAAGGAACGAGGGATTGAAGGAAGCCAAGCAGTATT